AAGATATTGCAATCGCGGCTGCGGTATCGCATGCGAGATGTTCCGTACATATTAAAATTCTATTTAAATAAGTGACAATCGATCAAGAAGTGTCGGATGTAAGCAGATAGTGTCGATAAATGTAGATCAAATTACAAGATGATATGTAACTAGGTAGAGATCCTTGAAGTATGACCTTTAATAAGTCTGTTCAACACTTCAAAAGAAAGAGATGGATGGATTGTGTGAAAGGTGACATGATCAAAAAGGGAGTGATGACTGAGATGACGTATGATAGAGTTATTTGGAGGACAAAAGCCAGTTGCGCCGACCCTACGGGTGTTGAACAAGGAGGATGATGATTATCAACACTTTAAAAGGTCTGCGTAAAACTCAGAGATAGTTACTAAAAAGTAACAATATTAGAGTGGGATTATTTCAAAATCCTAGAGAAAATTTTAAAAATTGTTCATTCACGTTTCTTATACTAACGTTATAAAAAATTAACCTATTGTATCAAATAGAAAACAGATTGACCTTACTAACAATTGTATGGACTCGATCACCTGCTTGTCCGATTGACCCGCATTACCTTCACATGCGATGCCCTAAAATGCTTCCGAGATAAAAATCATAACCACTTACTCTCTCTTATTGTTTCTTTGTACTTGATTTTCAATTGCATCAAAGCAAAAAGTGCTTCTTTCTTAAATATAATTTTATATTTAACAACAACAGAATCCTAAAAAAACAATTTGTCAGTCTGTCTTATATCGTAGTTCTTTGGTAAAGAATTGTGACGTAATCGTTTAGTATTTCTGTCTCCAAACTGTATAGCATCATTAGTATTTAAATACGTTACATGATCGCAGACAATGTCAAAGGTGTCTTTATGCAATTTTTTGTCTATTCAAAGAACATACATACATCTTTGATGTATTCAGAAATAAATACATTTGTAATTTAATCTTTGTACAACTAGTTATCGACGGTACGAGATATGAGGACTTTGTTGGTTACATTTCTTATTATTTTTTTTATAAAGACGATAAAGTGTGAAAACCTGTATCTATTTATCTAAAAGAACTTTGGAGTTTGAAGGCAGAATTTAAAATTGTTAACTCTTCTTAAAACTATTCAATCAGTGTTCTAATCAATTCTACACATTTGTGGTACTGAATGTTATATGATAGAATAAATTACTTTATACTCGTGGAGATGTTACGTTTCGATGTGCATTAAATCGCTAGCTATACAAAACGGCACGTCTTCCGTTGCTGGTCCATTATAAAGCTATAAATCGCAGACCGTCTGTCGGCATTTCGCATTTCTTGAACAAGGAAACCGTAAAGGTGTCGCGAGATTACAACTCGATTACAAAGCAACGACTGCTATCAATGAAAAAACTTTATAGAGAAACGTGGAAAATCCGATGATACAATCGCACACACAATGCATTAAAGATAAATAAAATTAATTAATGATTTTGTGATTATAATAGACGATTCAGGTGTATCAAAAGGCAAATTAGAATAAGATAGAAAAAGTGTTATATATGTTTATACATAGATTTATGTATGGATTTTATTGTGTTTTTAGTAAAAAAAAAATAGTCGTTATTTTAAGTTATTCTAGCTAAGCTTATCTGGTGATGGCCACACTAGGCAATGCCTGTATCGTGGCCACCGGAATTCACAGATACAATATTATCTGACCACAAAATTACATAAACCCACTCTCACGGCAGTGTTTTAGTATTTAATTATAAGTTAATCAAGTTTAAACTTTACTGTTATTAAAATGTAATTGGGAAAAAAAAATATAGTTTTGTAAATAACAAGAAAGGGAATAAAACTCTGTAAATATTTGTGTAAATATATATATGATAATAGATAATATATAAATGTATCAAAGTATCACAATCTAAAGTTTTCCACAGTACTCAATAAGGTTATGATTTAATCTTAAGAAGGTTCTCTGTATCTGTTTGGTTGGTTTAAGTGCCAGATGGAGTTAAAAGTTCCACATTAGATAACTAAAAATGAAATATAAGACAATTCCTTTCTTATAAACTGTTGTGTGCGTGTCTATACGTAAGCATGAATATAACAAAGGTGAGAGGTGAAATGCAGGTGTGGAAAATCAACTATTTCATTGTTAAACGATGGGTGGCGCTTGAGTCGGTGTCGGCGGAGTTCAGGCATAATGTGCCAACAGCTTTACTACAGTATAAACTCGAATAACGCCTCTAACTTTACTCGTAATGCGAATATAAGAGAAAGTGTACATTATGAGGACCTCTAAGCCTATTTATTATATTTCCTTTATTACTAAATTATAAAGGTTCTTAGCTACAACAACGGAATGGTTCTAGATTTCTAAAACATTTAACCTGTGTACAGAGGTTGATATTGCAATGTTAGTTTCTGGTTACAAAGACAAGATAACGCAATGAAAATTATTATTGACAATTTTTACAAAGTAAGATTTTTTTTATTTCATGTTAAATATTAATAATCTTATATTTTATGGTAGCTTTACTTATTATTTAATATTCCAATACAAATATTACGTTCAGCCCTGCTCAATTTTCACTTTATATTTCAAAGTATAAATAAAATAAAGTCTAAACGTAAGCTTGTACAAGTTTTAAATTTATTCGCTACTTTAATATGCTCTTAAAGTGTTAGTAGAAAGTGAAAATTATTATCCTATCCGCGAGGCATTTAACAATTCTGTCATTAAAGGTAAACGAAGTAGCATTTGAGACAACTTAATGTGTTGAACTTAGGTGAGATTGCAAGCCTACCGTATTTATAAAAGGATCATGTAACTTTAGATTTATAACACAAATGTGAATTGTATGAACGTTTGAAAAAGTCATAAGCTGATACAGAAAATGCACAAGAGCATAAAATAGCCGGAAGTTGTAAAGAACACTAATCCAGAGTATAATGACATCCAAACTTAATGGCAGTTCCAAATATAGTACGAGACTGAGCACAACACAATTTGAGGTAACGGCAGCAAAAATAATAATGAAGGCAAATTCACCGGCAATAGACCTTTGAGCATTCATAACGTTTGAATCTTACAATACAAATGAACATGTATACAGTTTTCCCGCAATTGTTCTTTACTCTAACGCAAATGGAGCTTAGATACCCAATCTCTAGCAACTTAATTAATAGTTGTGCGTTGTACGTAGTAATTATGATACAGCATTTTGTAATAGCATTTCTCTGTCTGAATATAAGAATTGAAAGGGGCAACTCTCACTAGCGTCGAACCTTAACGAAGCCAAAAAATTCCGGTAAAAATGACATAGTCATAATTATTGTTCAACAGCGAAAGAAGAACATTGACGGTCAATAATAATATTACGACTATAAACTTAGATCCGAACACTAATAATAAAACTAGTATGACATTAAATTTAATTAATAAAACATCGGTTCCCAAAGCAAAGATCAAGGGTCAAGACATGAACGTCGAAGTATTCACATCTATCGTAACCCTAACTGTAAACGAAAGTTCGTAGTAACCACGCACGTATTCCCATTCAGATCTCAGCATGGGACAAATAAATCCAACATTCCAATTACACGCAATCATCGTCGGCCATAATTTACAACAAAACACCATCAATTCTGTAAGGGATATCGAAAACAAACAAAGGGCAAAGAAAATACCTAACATTACTTATAACTTTTTAATCATTTTCATAATTTTAAACGGTATAAAGAAAACGGAAGGACGTAAATTGTATCACAATCTTTTTTACAAGACATTTGCTTATCATTATCGCTTTAGATATTATTATGGAATTTGGACTTTGAAAATGATATCACTGTTTATTTAAAGAATGGATACGAAATATATTTGCACTCGAAAGACACTTCCAATTAATTCTCGTGATCATCTTCAGTCTTTGTCTGTCCATTGTCTGGCAGTCTTTAAAAATCCAATCACGACATTTTCCAGATTTTTCCAACTGTATTTCTTTCTTAATAACCCGTGCATTAAATAAATGAAATTTCAATGTTTATGATGTTTTAAATTTGATTTTAAAACGGTAGCTAGTGTAAATTTGAATCCGTCAAACGCAGTGTTTGCGACAAATAACGTGATCTGGCGAAAGGTCAGCGAGGGGAAAGTTCAAGCGGAGAAACCCGCACTCTCTGTAGGTGCTATATCTCTAACCACAAGGGCTATTCACCGTCCGTTACATTTCTTTCAATTCCCTTTCTATTATTATCACGATTTTAGTTTTAACAATTTTTTCCATGAAAAGTTCCACTTTCTTTGCAATTTCATTTACAAAATATACGGATGGGATATCACTTTCATTTCTAGGAGTTAATAGACTATAATCAGACCTTATGGTAATTAACATTATTTTACGAAAAAATGTAAGGACATCTAAATTATTTAAAACTCATACACAATATCAAATCGAAATGAAACAAATATAAAATCATCACTAAGTGTAAAGTATCAACATTTTCTCAGAAATATAGGACAAATTATCATAGACCGATTTATGCTAATATAAAAGTGAGCCTATCTTCAAAAATGGTGAAACGCGTCATCTTTGCAACAGTTAATCCGGTTACAGGGAGCTCTCGTTACGACAAATCCTGCCAACTTTGGACTGGCCATCTACAGAAATGGACGGCTTAAATATTTACACTACTAATGATGATCTACGACAGTTGTAATAGCATTTAGATATTAGGTAATCAGAAAGTAGTTCTTTGTTGAATTCAAAGTCGTAATGAATGAAATGCTTAATGCAGACAAAGCACTTTTACTTCGAATTTCTGAAGTGTTTACCTTTAACATGAATATGTGAGATCTAACAAGAAGTTTCAGATCTGGGGAAATAGAATCCTTCTCACAGATGGTCCATCACTTCTTAAGAAGAGATAAACACTGGTTGTAGATAAAAATTACATTCGTAAAAGTCTATATACAACTGTGCCCTATCTCGTTAAATCTGTTACTTGTTTGTAACTTACCGGCATCACATGCCGTCATGTCGGTAATGAGGCCCTCGAGGTCCGGCGAGATGAGCCGCTCCTCATCCTCCGCGTGCGTGTAGTCCAGCGCGTGGTAGATCACCAGCGCCAGGTTCACCACCATCTGGAACAATCAGCAATATTAGACATTTCGAACTTAGTTCTGAATAGCGTTTTGACGCCGTATGTGCGTTTGTCATGTCTTCAGCTTTAACAGCATCTATGTAAAGAGTTGTCATTCAATTTATTTTTATGTAGTACTAAAAACCTATTGCTTGTTTTAATTTATTTCAAAGCATCTGTGAAAAGAAGCACCCCGCGTGACTATCAGATGAACGGAACAGGGGTACGGCATTGTATGTATGTTGGCCAACCGACCTCGCACCGCGCCCGTACGCCGCGGCAACGCAACACTGCACACCCCATTACACGTTGCTTTTGTAACACCTGATATTACCTGATTAATGATTTCAGTACCGAAAAGTTACATTATAAAGCCACAAGATGGATATCTCTCGATCACCTCACTCTCTCTCTTTCTCTCTCTCTTATTTTAGCTAGTTCTTAAGCTCTACCCAAATAACTATTGTTTTGCCGTACACTTTTTTACTGTACAATAATTTAGTATCAGAACGAAGTAATAAGTAGCGCTATTCATTTATTTCCAGTGAAACAAAAGACATCCAAAACATGTTATAAACAGTAAAATACGATTTACGGTCAGAGTTTGCACGGGGCAGTAGGATCAACAGAGCTAGCCGATGCTATGGCAACGGATAAGAGGCATTGTATGCAAATCACGTGCGATATTGAGTTCAGTCGTGTTGCAGCGCGTTGCGTAACTGCCAGCCGAAAGCCATAACAACATCCGATTCGCAGGGTGTTTACACACCAAAGAGGCGACCGAACGGAAAAATAATGTTACTTTTAAAACATGTAGTTGAATCTCAAAATATGAAATTTCGTAGGCTTTGTTAGTTTCAAACTCTAGTCCTATTATAACCACACTGTTAATGACAACACAGTTCATATAATTACATTAACTAGTAGCCATGATTACCCTAGTGTACAAGCGTCCTTAGCAATCTTCAACTGTAACTGATTATTAGGGTAATAGAAGGGTTTTGTTGAGATATTTTTTATAACACGATTATCTAACATTCAGAACAAATATTTTACGATTGTATTAGCTCGTTATATTCTTGTCTGAACCGACATAAGAAGTCTACTGTCAATGAGAAGAATCAGTTGGTAAGGTGATAAAGCAAGAAGCCGGATATTACAGCATAGAAATAATTTAACATCATCTGTGGGTCCTTACGTTACTTCTTACTGTACTTAGTATGATAGATGCGACACTAATGCTCGTAAAAACATTGCTGTTTAACACTCATTGTGCTTATGATGCCGCGGAAGCTATCTCCTTAAATCATTTTATTTAAAACCCTATTTCATTGAATGTAGAGTTGAGAATAACTTGATAGTAAGCGAGATGGTCAGCGCATCATAAATATGAGCTCGTTGCAATTTACATTTTGCTGTGATGTGATAAAGTTTATTATGCTATATCAGTGTTACAGCTTTGATGATACCAATCGCACGCAAAGCACGTATGTGAAACAAATGGCCGTGGGAAGAAATTATGCTACGCGAATAGATTTGATATTATACTAGAATGTTTACGGAAACGACGACCGGTAAGGTAAATTCATTTTAACCGTTACATTATAAAACATACCTTGGGGGCTGTCCATAAATTACGTCATGGATTTTTTCAGACTTTAGACCTCCCCCCCCCTACAATCATCCCATCGTCATTTCTTAATGACCCCCCCTTCAATAAAACTATAAAAAAATAAATAAGAATGACGTCAATTTCGAAACACCCC